CACCCACCCACCCATCCATCCATCCACCCATCCACCAATCCATCACCCGCCTGCCCACTCATCCACCTGACCATCCTGTACCCGCCCCTCCTGGCCATCCTATGTCCCCAGTGCCTGCCTGGGCCTGCCGTATCAGGGGTCCTGGGTGCGGGCAGCACCCTGTGGGCTCTGCTTGGGCACTGGCGTGTGTTGGGAGACGCAGGCGCCCAGTGGGAGATGGCCAGGTTGGTGGTGCCGTGAAACCCAGGCCCCAGGGGAGGCAGCAGCTGCTGCTGGAAGGGGCCATGTGGCCCAAGCCCAAGCCCACGCTAGGCAGAGGCTCCGCTGCCCTCCCTGGGCTCGCGGAGGCGGCGTCCCCTGCTGCACCAGGGGGCAGAGGCAGGTCGTCCAGGGCCCTGCAGCACCCTCTCCTCATGGCCATGGCCAGAGGGTCTCAGAGGGAACAAGTAACGTCCCTTCAGACCTTTGCTCAGAGCCCACGCTGTGTGTCCTGCCACTGGCCAGAGCAAGTCCCAGTGGACACCAGCATCAAGAGGCCAGGTGGGCTTGGCCACAGGCACTGCACCTGTGACGCAGGAGCAGTGGGGACCTGGACACGGGTCACAGCCCTCAGACTCGGGGAGGGGGACCCGGAAAGCCCCCCCAGAAGGGTCCCCTCAGTTGGGTCTTGAAGGAGAAGTATGAGTCCTCCCTGCGGAGAAAGGGGACAGCGGTGAGGCCCTGCCCAAAGGCCTGGCCAGGGGGCCAGCAGGGTGGGGCCAGCAGGGTGCATCCAGCTGGAGCCCCGCGTCCAGGGGAGGAGGCAGGAGGTGGGGGCGGAGGGAGGCCCGTTGCCCGGAGGAGCAGGGAGGCTGTAGGCACGGCCAATCTGGGCTCCCACGGAGGGCAGTGGGGAGCCAGGGAAGGCTCTGAGCAGGGAGGGACGGGTGACTGCACTCGCTTGCTCTGGGCAGGGATGGGAGGCGGGCGGTAGAGGAGGCAGAGCTGGGAGGAGGCTGCCCTGGGCCTCCAGGAGGGAGGCTGGGGGCCATGGTGTTGAGTCTAGCCTTGTCTCCCTGATTCAGAGCAGCGAGGCCCGTCTTTCCACGAACTCCCGTGGGCAGGGCCCTCTCCTCGGCTTCTCTCCTGCGGGCGAGTCCTCTGCATGGGCCCCGCCCCGGGTGCTGAGATCCTGGGGGGCGCTCAGGGCGGTTTCTGGCCCCGTGACCCTCCCTGCCTCGCCTGGGCAGGGGGCTGTAGCCTGCCACTTAGCTCCTCTCTGTGGATTCCCTGGGGTCGGTTGAGTGGGGTCCCTCTCACCTGGGGTCTTGGTGTGGGTCCCCCAGAGTGGGCCCTGAACAGGACCAGGTGCCTGTAGTTCCCGGGGGTGCCTGCAGGGGGCGCCTTCAGCGGCAGGAGGCAGGAGGGAAGGAAGCCCCAACACCATGAGTGAGCGGGTCACCCGGGACGACTGGGATCCCAAGGCTGTCCCTAGGTTGTCCCTCCGAGGGTGGGAAGCGGTGGCAGTCACCCGCAATGCCCACTCCTTGTTGGTGGAGGGCTGGCCTCCCTCTGTCCATGCCGTGGGTCTTCCTGCCACTTTGCCCTCTTCCCGGCCGAGTCCCACGCTCAGGGAACACTGCGAGGGGACCCTCCAGCTCCCTGGATCTGGGCGTCTGGGAGCCTCGGCACCTGCTCTGGTCTTTGCGGAGCCGGCACCTGGGGCTTCTGAGGGTCCCCTCTGCTTCTCCTCAGGTCTGGGATGATGCCAATCTGAGGGCACAGGAGCTGGCCAAGAGGGACGGCTGGGTGAACGTCCCCCCGTTTGACCACCCTCTGATATGGTAAGAGGAGGCCCAGCACGGGAGACCCTCACCAAGTCAGGTCCTGCCCTGGACAGAAGGGAAAGCAAGGCCCGGGGGAAAGACGTTCCACAGTGGACAGAGGGGGGTCCAGGCCCTGCCTCTGCTGCTCAGGGACCCTGTGACTGCACAGCAACCCACCTCCCCGCACCCCAGGATCCAGATCTGTAAGACGGAAATGGTGACGCTAAGTCCCCCTGAAGACAGAGCATGGGCTTTGGGGCCCACCCCAGGCTAAGGGCCTTCCCTGAGCCCTCCTGTGTATCCTCCCCAAAGCCCTTGGGGGCACTGTTGTTAAAACCATTTCACAGGCCAGAGCACGGAGGCACAGAGGGGTTAAGCAACTTGCCCAAGATCACACAGCCAGTACTAGCCCCACAACTTCAGTCAGCTGAGTCCAAGTGACAGGCCCGTCCCCTCAACCACGTGCACTAACTAACAAAGTTGCTGGGGGACTCATTGGGGTTATGTCCAGGAAAGTGCCTGGGAGATGGTGGTGGGGGTGACTGAAGGAAGGAATGCAGGGGACGATGGGCCCCCACAGGGACTCTCCTGCCTGCTGGCTGTGGGGAGGGGACGGAGAGGGATTTGTGCGTATGGGGGCAGGGAGCCCAGCCCTAGAGACTCCCCTATCCAGGAACCTGTGGTGTCCCACCCCCCGACTCCTCTCTCCAGGGAAGGCAACGCCAGCCTGGTGGGGGAGCTGAAGGCCACCCTGGGGACCCCGCCAGGTGCCGTGGTCCTGGCAGTGGGCGGCGGGGGACTCCTGGCAGGGGTGGTGGCCGGCCTGGTGGAGGTGGGCTGGCAGCACGTGCCCATCATCGCCATGGAGACCCGAGGGGCGCACAGCTTCAACGCCGCCGTGGAGGCGGGCAAGCTGGTCACGCTGCCGGACATCACCAGGTGAGCCCCTGCCAGGTGCTGGAGGGGGCCGTGGGTGGGCTGCTGTGCCCAGCGCCTCCTGCCCCAGCCAGCAGGGTGGATAAGGCCTGAAAGGGGTCTCCTTGTCCCCCAGGCACGGTCCTGAGGGTCTGAATGGGAAGCGCTGAGCAGCAGAGGTAGGGTGGGGTCCACCTAACCCTCACCCACTAATAGAGCAAGTCCTCCTTGGTCGGCTCCATTGACGAGCAGGTTGAGCCAGATGCAGGGCAGTTAGGAAATGAAGACACCAAGCTGCCCTGGACAACCAAGTGGCCGGCTGTCCTGCCCCCAAAGGGGGACATGCTCCCTGGGGCTTTGCCTACTGTGTGTGCCCCACAGTTACAGACAGTGAACTTCTTGTGTCCAGGCGTCCCCAGTGGAAGGGCCAGGGTGACTGCTGCCACACTGGTCAATCTCAGGGTCCAGGAGTCTGGTGCCCTGGGGGGCTCTGGACAGAGGGCATAGTCTTCGCAGGGTGCGGGCCGGTGGGGACCAGCTCCCCCAGCTCCTTGCTCTCCCTGACCTGCCTGCCTCACGTGCAGCGTGGCCAAGAGCCTGGGCGCCAAGACGGTGGCCTTGAGGGCCCTGGAGTGCACGCGGGAGTGCAGGGTCCTGTCTGAGGTGGTGGACGACGGGGAGGCTGTGAGCGCTGTGCAGCGGTTCCTGGGTGAGTGGCATGGCCCCGCTGGCCTAGGACCCAGCAAGTCCCCAGTGCATCAACCCAGGCAGGGCGTGGGCAGTTGTGCTTGGGGCCCTGGAGCAGGTGGGGCGGGTGGAGGAGGGTGTCCCTGCCTCTGCACGTCCATCCCTGGCCCTGTCCGCTATCCATTTCCTAGGACAGAGGGCTAGTGACGGAGTCACCGAGGCACCTCCTCTAGGAAGCCCCCAGGTCTCCGCCATAGTGCCCAGGCCGGGGACCTCCTGTGCACCAGCCCCTGGGTGCATCCCCGCTGGTTCCCATCTGACACTACCAGAGGGCCAGCTCCACGAGGGCGAGGCCGGGTGGTGTCCCCTGGGGTCAGGCTCCAGCAGTGGGCCGCGCGGGGATCTGCTGGCTGAAGGGCTGGGAGGGAGGGAGGGAGGCCTGGAGAGTGGGCGGGGCAGGCATGGAGATGGGCGGGGCAGGGATGGAGAGTGGGCGGGGCAGGGATGGAGAGCGGGCGGGGGATGGAGAATGGGCGGGGCAGCCATGGGTGAGACTGATGCCTGATGTCGAGACGGACGGATGGATGGATGGACGGATGGACGGGCACAATGCTGAATAGACATATTGATGGATGGACAGACAGACAATCAAATGATGGAAAGGAGACGGATGGATGGATACGTTGATGGATGGCCACGGTGACGGATGGACAGACAGGCTAGTGATGAATGGAGGAGTGGACGGCTGGAGAGATAGATGGTGGGGTGACTCCTGAGAGAGGGTCAGGCGAGTGACAGATTGTGAGGAGGTGGCCGGGTGGCCCGTGGAGCCGGGGGCCAGCTGAGCCCGGCCTCCCTCTGCTCCCAACCCACAGATGACGAGCGCTTGCTGGTGGAGCCCGCCTGTGGTGCAGCCCTGGCCTCCGTCTACTCGGGCCTCCTGGGGAGGCTGCAGGCTGAGGGCCGCCTGGGCCCCCTGGCCTCTGTCGTGGTCATCGTTTGTGGGGGCAACGGCATCAACAGCGGAGAGCTGCAGGCTCTGAAAGCCAAGCTGGGCCAGAGCTGAGGGTCCCCAAGACCCGCCCCCGAAGGCTGTGGACACGTGTGGTTGGCTCAGGGCCTCTGCTCCAGGGGATGACTGTGGGGGCTGCCTGGACATTCAAGATGGCCTCCTCCTCCTCCTCCTCCTCCTCCTCCTCCTCCTCCTCCTCCAGGAAGCCCTCCAGAACTGCTCCTGGGGCTCCTGGCAGCCACGGCCAATAAAGCCCTCCGGGCCATGGATCCCATCTTTCTCCCTCCACTAGCTCAAGGAGGCACGGTGACAATCCTAATCCTGTCCTGTGACAGGTGACTGCCCACACCCAGCTGTGCTACAGGAAGCCAGCCAGCCCAGGTCCTAGGAGGGCTCCTCTCACCTACAGGGCGGGCTCAGGGGGCCCGGTCAGGAAGGACAGGAGCATTGTCACTCATCAGATCTGAGGGAGAGGACAGTGTCTATTGAGTGAGTCACGTGCCAGGGACTCCTCTAGAACTTTCTACCCACCGTCTTCCTTCATCTCCTCGGAGGTGCTATGAAGCAGAAGCCATTATTCCTGCCCCTGCTTTACAGATGGGAATATGGAGCAGGGAAGTGGACAGAGGTCACCCAAGGACACAGCAGGGATGGGGCCCAGCCTGGTTCAAACTCTGCAATGTCCAACGTCACTCCATGTGGCTGGGGCTCACTGTGCGGGAGGTGGTGGAGGCGGGGTTTTGGGGAAGGGGTAGGAACCAGGTGGTCTGGAGGCAGGTGACCCAGGGGAGCGGGAGCCCAGGGCCCCTGGAGGTGCCTCTTAGGAAGCAGGATGGAAAGTCCACTTCCTTGTGGCCACAAGGGGGCAGCAAAGGGTCTCCTTCGGGGCCAGCTGGCCCAGGGCAGGAGTCTGGTACCCTTGGGGTTCTCCTGGGCTCTACCTCCGTTGGCCCCTCACTGGCCGGGAGTGCCAAGGCCCCAGAGATGGGCCACAGGGTCTTGGCACCAAGGAGCCTTTTCTAACCCCTGAAGCCCTGCTGGGAGACAGCTCAGAGGTGTGGACCACCAGACCTACCGCAGAGCTCGCCTCCCACCCCTCCCGCAGCCCCCTCTTCTGCCTCTTGTGGGCTGTGTGACCTTGGACAAGTGCCCTCCCTCTCTGGGCCTCAGGCTTCCCCTCAGTGATGTAGGAGGCCCTCTCGCCGCTGCTGATCTCCCTCCTTATGCCAGGAAGCCCCTCCTTGCTCAGGAGCAGGGTCAGAGCCTGTAGTGACCAGTGGGGCTCTCTGTCTCATTCTCTCTTAACCTGCGGTTGCCAGGGATGCCACCCCCCAGAGATCCCAGAACCAGGCCCTATTTCCTGGGAGAAAATTCACTTTGTGGATTCCCCAGGACAGAGAAGACCTTATGAGCTCTGGAGCTGGATGCAGCCGGACCTGCACCCACTTTGCTCCTGCTGACCTGCATGGTGACACAAAGGTGACCCCTGAGTGCCTCAGTGTGCTTTCCGTAAAGCAGGCTGTGGAGGGCTGTCACTATGGTTGGCCACAGGCAGTCTTTCAATAAATGCCTACTGTCCCTGTCCCCTAAGCCTCCCTCCTCCCACAACCCGAGGTGGGGAGGAATTAGGATTTATTCACATGTGGACCCCTTTCACCTTATCTCATAATGATCCTCGTGGTGGGGTAGTATCATTATCCCTATTTTGTAAATGAGGAAACTGAAGCACAGAGCAGTTGAGCCACTTAGCCTGGGTCACACAGCTGTATGGCAACCCTGATATGTAAAGAGTATGTAATCCCTACTGCTCTGCCACCTCCTTTCCTTTGCTGCCACTGTGTCCCAGGTGCTCTGTCTCCCAGGGGGCCCCGCCTGCCTCATGTCTGTGGCTGTCCCTGGGACAGGCCTCAGCTGCTGCTTGCCCCTCTCCTGGTCTCTGGAGCTGCAGATAAGAAGCCGAAGGCGCTGTTGACCCCGTCCAGATAACACACATCAGTGGGCTAGTGTGGCCCCTCCTGGTTGACACCCAAGGCATGTGGAGGAAGGGAGGAAGGGTCAGGGCTCAGAGAAGGGACAGAAGCCATTACGATTGGCTGCAGCAGGGCCGGCCGCGCAGGTGGAGACTCTTATCTCTCTGCCTCTGCCTTCTAGGGCCTCCAAGGAGGTAACCGGGTCAGGGTGTCTCTGTGTTTGTCCAGGGCTGCCCCGGGAACACTGCAGACCAGGTCACCAGGTGTGCACATGTGAGATACACCCAGCCTCCCACGCCCGCTCAGCGCCTTGCAGTGGAGGCCCCTCTGTCCTCCACCTGTTTGGTCCAACACCTCGGACTCCAAGGGCCTCGTCTCCATCTGGTCCTTCAGTCCTGCCTTCAAGCCAGGTGACAGGGAGACACAGGCAAAGGTAGTGTTCTGACCCCAGAACTGGGTGGTGCAAGCTCAGCCGCTGCTGCCTGTCCCTCCCCAGGTTGGGCAAGAGCCCCGTCCAGGGTCCGGCCAATGCTGCTGCCTTGTGGATAATGGCCTGACCCTCCTAAGGGGAAGGGGTGGCTCAGGGTGGCTTTGTGTCTCAGTCCCCTCCAGCCACTATGACGAAATCCTGCAGAGCTGGCAGCATGACTGGTGGGGGTTTATAAAATAATAGAAATGTATTGATCACAGTTCTGGAGGCCACAAAGTTCAAGGTCAAGGTGATGACGCCTCAAACGTCTTCACACTCCAACCTCACTGGGCAGAGGGGCAAGCGGTGGTCCCTGGGCGCCTCTTTCTTCAGGCACAAATCCCCCCATTAGAGTTCTGTCCCATGACCTAAACACCCGCTCTTAATACCATTGCTGTGGGGTCAGGGTTTCGACATAAATTTAGGGGGGACACGAGCATTCTGATGGTGGCACTTCCTGTCCCAAGTCTTCTGTTGTGTGCACACCTGTGACTCTGCATGCGCGTCTGCACGCACCTGAGCGCACTTGTACGCCCCTGTCCATCAGGAGCCTGCTTGGTGCTTTGCAATTTTGCACTTGACATTTATAATCCCGTCACCAGACAGAGCTCACGCCTCCAGGTCCACAGTGAAGCAGGTTGAGGGTTGTGCCTGTGGGAGCGTGAAAGCTCCTGCCACTTCCAGGAATCCAGGGGAGGAGCACGTGACTCCCGCCTGAGCCAATCCGAGCATTGCATCTCCCCGGACCACAGCGATTGGCTCCAGGGTCGACCCAGCCTCCGGGTTGTCCAATCAGAATGGTTCCCGGGGTTTTGGCGGGGAAGCGGAGCATCCCTGGACCCTTCGATTTGGCAAGTCAGTAAATCCCACTCTCGCTGTCGCCTGGGCTTGGGGAGTGGGGTGCGCGGTGGCCACGTGTCTCCAGATGGCTTGACCTGCTTTGGGCTGCCGGCCCAGGCTCGAGTCTTATCTGGGCTTCGCTCTCAACAAAATGAGGGCAGCCCTCGCTTTGAATCCACTTTCTTCTTGCTCCAAGGGACCCGGGAGTTCCTGCTGCTTTTACGGAAGAGCGAGGCAAAGCTCCCTGGGATATTGCTGGCCAGCGGAGGCCAGGGATCGTAAAGATGGCAGGATTTTAAAGTCATGCTGGGCAAGGGTCTCTTGGAAGCCACTGGTGCAAGGGGTGGGCAGGTCTGGGGGAGCCTGGAGCCCCCTCCACCGCTGGAGCACAAGCCCTCCAGGGAGGCAGTTCCCTCGTTGGAGGGGCTGGGAGGCAGCACCCTTCTTAACGTCTTCTCTCCAAGCCTCCTGGAGGCCGGCAGGGCTGTCTGCAGAGAGCGATGGGGTGGCCAGGTCCAGAGAGGCACAGCTGTCCATGCTGGGACATCGAGAGCAGGGACACAGGCTCTCCCCACTGCCCTGGCAGGGTGCTTTGTTCTCATGAGGACTCATTGGGGACCTCAGTGTCCTGCAACTCCAGGGTCAGGCTGGGCACCTCGTGTCCCATGCTAGGAGTTTTGGGGAATCCATCCGAGACCTGCGCACCTGGTTTCTCTACATTGTGTTCCTGGTTTGAGTGTGAGGACCAGGAGGGTGGCCGCCATCTGTGCTGGGGAAAAGTGCCCGGGGCCTCCATCCGACATTGACCTCTGCCTGAGGGTCCTTTGCCAGGGGTTTGTAAGCCCAGGGATGCAGCCAAAGCCCCGCCCTCATGGAGCTTACGTTCCAGTGCAGAGATGTGGACAAGGACAAGCCCCCACTTAGAAATGTAACCCGTCACCTACTGAGAGCTGCTTCAAGGAAAGACGAGGCAGGGTGAGGAGGGAGAGAATGACAGGGACGAGGTGGGGACAGTTTTATTGTGTTAAAGCCATCCTAAGTGTCACGCAGTTCTGCTTATACAGTAGGCCAAGATGAGTTTTTAACAGATAAAGAAAGAAACTTAAATTTAAATGTAAGCACAATACTGCCGTCCTCCCATCACCAGCGATTCCTTGACACTGACACCCCGTCTCCGTTCCGTTTCCCCTAGATGGTCTAAAAGAAAAGTCTTGTTGGTTTGTGGAGGCAGGATCCAGTCTTGACAGACTATTTGGTTAATTTGGTTCTTAGTTTTTTGTCTATCACAGTTAGTTGGGCAGGCGGTGGTGGGAGGTCAAAGAAGCCCTCTTTGAAAAGGTGCAATTTGAGTTGAGGTCTGAAGGCAATGAAGGAGCAAGCCCTGTGGGGGAGGCAGGGGAAGAGCAGAGGGAACAGGATGTGCAAAGGCCCTGAGGTAGGGTTGTGTGAGCAGGCCAGTGTGGCTGCAGGGGAGAGTAGGAGAAGATGGACAGGGGCCTGGTGGTGTACCTCAGGGTGTGGTACTTGCCTAGCATGTGTGAGACCCTGGGCTTGATCCCCACCACCACCACAAGAAAATAAAGAATTCAGTAAACAAAGAAAAGGTGGACAGAGAGGTAAAAGGTATACGGAGGCGGGGGGTGGACAGAAAGAAAACTTTGTTTTTTCCTCTGGGCATGAGGGAGAGTCACATATGTGGCCGCGTTGTGGCTGCCTCCCTGGGTCCTGTCCCCAGCCTTGGTCTCTATCTCCTGTCCCGTGCAAGCCTGACCTCTGCAGTGGACATGCTTGGTGCCCCTTCCCTCAGAGCCCCCTCACCAGGAGGGTGCAGAGCATCCCCAGGTGCCGGGGATGCTGGCTGTGCCTGCATTGACATCTTGTCCTGTGCCCTCCGTCTCCAGGCTCCTCCTCTCACCCCCTTCGTCAATCACGCCAGGAATTCCCATCTAGACTCCGAGGGTCTGGGTGGACCCTCTCCCCACCCTGTGTCCCATCGGCCTCTCCCTGTTCCAGTGTTTGTGCTTTTTAAACTCCACCAAAAATGTCACGGGCAGGTTTCTCGCTCCGCTTCCAAACTCCCTGATAAATTCCACCAGCAGGGCAACCCCAGGAGAGGTTTTCTGGAGCAAGAAACCCCATAAATCACCCCGCTGCCACTCCGGCGTGGGCAATATCTTATGTAAAAAGGTGTTTCCTGGGAGCGCCACAGGCAGGAGAATCCTATTACAAGCCGCCCCATTAATTATCAAGAGTCAAGTCGACCCTTTCCTGCGATTTTTTATCTTAAGTCCGAAAACTGATTACCTTCCCCAATCCTTCCCCTACCAAAAAGATCTGAAGAATAAAATAAATGTTTCAAGAACAAATACCAAAGTTTCTCCTTTCAGGGGGGACCCGGCAGGGAGGGAGGCCGCTGGGCAGGGTCCTTTTCTCTTCCTTGGAGGTTGCAGTGGTCGGGCGCTGAGCCTGCGCCTGGTGCATTTCTGGGCCTCTTCGGCCCTTGGAGGTGTGGTCTGTGATTGTCCCGTGTTACAGATGGGGAAACTGAGGCTCGCCCGAGGTGACATGTTGGCCTCTTCTTCTGAGATGGTGCGGTGGGCAGAAGATGGGCTTGGCTGGGTGTTGAAAGACCCGGGTTCAAGTCCCACCTCTCCTTACTGGCTAGAACCCTGGGTAAGTGAATTAACCTCTCTGAACCTTAGTTTCTTCTTCTGCGAAGAAGAGAGGAATAAATGAGGAATAAAATGAGGAATAAATGAGGAATAAAAGCATCCTCCTGGGGACAAAGGACACCAGCCAGGCACGTCTCTGGCCTGAATGACAGGAGGTCACCGTGTCCTGATGGAGCCCCATCTGTTTGCCACCCAGCGGCCAGACAACCAGCAAGAGGCAGATCCACGGACCCCTTCCCCCACTTAAACGGAGGATAAAGGGCTTCCCCTGACCTTCATCCTGCCCCTGCTGACCTTGGAGGTCTCCTTCTCCCTCTCTCCTTCCAGACGCCCAGCCGTGCCAGCCCTGTTCTCTTCCTAAAGCCCACGGAGCCTGTTCATGCCCCTGAGCCGGGATCTGGGCTGCACCCTGGGTCCCATCTGCTCCTTCCCTAGATCTCAGCAGAGTCTGTGGCGCCTCACTCAACCCTGGACCCCCAGGTCACCTCCTAGGCTGGACCCTTCTCCTGCAGCCTGCCGCTCAGGGCAAGGCAGGATCTAGGATGAGGCGAGAGCGACCCCTGTCCTGGTGCAGAATGGAAGGGGGGCACCAAACCTCCGTTATAAAAAGGAAACGCTTTAAAAACTAAGATGGATGTAAACGATTCATGATGAATGAAATAGAAAACTCTAGATAAAGACAGGAGCTCACCAGGCACTTGCATGGCTAACCTGTCCCCACACCCCTATCCCAGGCCTATCAGAGCCTGTGTATCTAAAACGTGGCTCTTAGAGTCTAGTAAGATGGGGGCACACTTATAATCCTAGTAACTTGGGAGGCTGAGGCAGGAGGATGGCATTGGAGGCCAACCTC